GCTGATCTCGGTCCTGTTCCCAGCAGGCTGAGCTGTGCCACAAAGTTATTCAAGCCCCCCGACCAGCCTGGCTCGCCATGGCCTTGCTGCCCACTTCTTTTCTCACCTCTTCCTCCGATTCCACCTTCTGTGGCTGAACAGGCCATTCAGCTTCCGACTCCGGCTGCGCTGCGACTGCCTCGTGGTCACCCTCACAGGAAACTTGGGGGTCTGAGCATGTCTTTGGGATAGCTTCCTCCAACCTACAGAAACCAGAAACAACCCTGGGGAAGAGAAATCTCCAGAAGGGAAGTCACTGAGCCAGAGAAGATCCGCTGGGAAAGCTGTCATGTTTGTCTAAGAAGTTTGGGGATGAATGAGACAAAACAAGATTCGGTCTTTGCAGCCCAACTTCCCTCGATGCTTGCACATCGCAGCCTGTCTGGCTTCGTTAGGTCTGCACATAAACAAGAAGATCACGCACCCCAGCAGAGAAGCTCATCCGCTTTCAGACTGATGCCTGCGCTCCCACCAGCGCTAAAACCTTGCAGACACCTTGGCACGAGGAGGTGGCAGTCAGTTCTGTGCCCCCTCCCTGCAAGCCCCACAGCCTCACCTGGGCAGTCCCGCCGGGCTCAAGCTGGGGGAAGCCAGTGGTGCCGGTGCCTGCTTTTCTGCATCCTGAGCCCTGCCCTCGTAGGTGCGCAGTTTTGCCCGCAGATCTGCCACCTATGAGGAAAGTTCATTCCTTTCACAGATGGTTTTGCAATCTGGGGGAGATCAGAGCTCCCTGCTGCCGCAGGGAGGTTAACGCAGCCCTCCTGGCAGACAGCACCTTCACGCAGCTCACAGAAGATCAGGGAACTCAGATGTCTGTGTCCTGTCTCCCCAAGCCCTCCCTCCTCACCAGCATCTCACCTCCGCTTTCAGCTGCTCGCAGATCACGGCATATTTACTGATGTGGCAGTCAAGGCTGAGCACATTGCTCTTCAGCTGCAGAGACAGGGGTGAGCGAGAGGTTAAAGAAGCACAGACACAGCATGTACCCCCTCTCCCAGCTCTGGAGAAAGGCAGCTACTCAACCTCCTCTGGGCTCAAGGATCCTCAGGGAGCCCCGAGGTGGCTGGAGCAGACATGATCTGTGCTCAGGGATCTGCTGTGCCACTCATGAGCCTTTCTAGGCTCTGGGCTGAAGGGCTTTAGCAGAAGACCAGGTGCTCAGCATCCATAGCTTCACGAGCTGGATTCTGCCCGGAGCAGCATCCTCAGGGCAGGATAATTGAAGATGGAGCAGAGAAGCACCCATCAAGCTACCCCATACACCATGGCAGGTTGCAAAACTCAGCTCCTTCCCACCCATCCATAGCTGCTCTCAAAAAACACAGTGGCTCTCCACCACTATGTGAGGTCCTCACCGACAGCTTGATCTCCTTGGCCCGGTTGGCGTACTTGAGTGTGTTGTAGGTGTCCTCGTAGGCCAGCATGGAGGGGCTCACGGCAGCGATCATGATGGTGCGGCAGTTGCCACCAATGGAGTCTTTCAGCAACCGTGTGAGCTTGCTGTCCCTATATGGGATGTGGGTTTTCTTGCTCTGTACCGAGAGATCAAGGGTCTGCTCAGCTTTTGGCTCACAGATGCTCAGCCCTGAGTCCTGTGCTGCAAGGAGACAGTTATGCACGCCCCATGCCACCTGCCAATCCCATCTCTGCCACTGTTCCCAGCCCAGGTTGCCATCCCACTGTACCAGAGGGATCGCCAGGTCTGGCGCACAAAGGCCCCCCTCACATTCACCTACCCTGGACAGCCAGAGCTCAGCAGTGTCACATGAGGAGCAGCGTTACCTTTGCATCAGCCAGTGCGTTGATGACATTGATGAGGGCTAGCAGCGAACGGTTGATGTTGGCACCCTCCCGGAGCCGCTCTCCTTTGGTTTTGGTGACTGAAGCTCTCTCTGAGCCTGCCAGGTCAATCAAACTCATCTTGGCCACTTGCAGGTCCTGAGCAAGGCCGACAACACGGTCCTGCTGCTTCACGTAGATCTGCGAAGACAGAGATCTGCGAGGCTGCTGCTGAAAAAGGGGCAATGTTGCTGGTTGGAGGTTGCATTGCCAGCAGGATGAGGTGGTGATGTTTATAAAAGGATAGTGAAGTGGATCACAGGCACCAGGATGTTGGGCAGGGGGAAAACAGTGTTCTGGTGCACTGAAAAGACAAGCCAAAACTGTGATGACATGAGTGGCAAAGCCATGGAAGTGACCTCGCATGAAGTTACAGGGCTATGGAAAACAATCAGCATCTCCTACGCTTTGTCAGCGATCAGCACACAGCTAGCTGGGTCCCTGAAGGGCTATATGCTAGGCGAGATCCCTGCTGGGACCTGGAAAGCGCTCATGCACTGTGTCAGCCTCAAGCTCTGAGTCCAACTGTGGGTCTTGCCTCAAGAAGGGTCCTGAAAGATGATAATCCAGGTGCGCACCTGCAAACTTGGACTCTGACAGGGGCTGCAAGCCCCCCGGAGCCAGCCAGCATAGACTAGAGATGTCCCCAAGGGGGCTGTGGCCAAGGCTTCTCAGTGCTGAGGCTGCTTCACAGTGAGCTCAGGTGAGGCGCGACACCGCTGCCGAGGCTCACTCTGCTTCACAACTTTGCCTTCCGCATCCCTAAAGATATTCTGGGAGAAGCAAATACTTCTCCCAGCACCATAAAAGTCCTCAATGGCTTGCTCGCCCCGGGAGCTCCCTGAACAGAACATACTGCCATCTCCCATGGGCTGAGACGTTCACGCTGGAGAGGCTGGTCCTGCTTCTTCACGCAGAGCCAGGTTCCACACCAGGCTGTGATTTGCCTGCCGGGAGGCAGAACCAGTGGCAGGAAGGGCAGATTTACAGCATGGCTAATGGATTCACGACAGGCAGGAATCCAGAGCCCACCGCTGTGCCCAGCTGGGAACCCAGCTGGGAAGCCGTCCAGACACCTGTACTTTCCCTGCAAGTAGCAATGGGCAAGGCACCCGGTTCACACTGAAATTACAGTCAGAGGCCCCAGTGTCCTCAAGCAGCCGTGACGGCCCTGCTAATTCAGGGAATGGCTTGGCTGGAATTGAAATCAACTGGGAGGTTTCTGTAGGAGAGCACCAGTGATCAGGGGCCAATCTTACAGAGCTAGGAATGTAATTCTTGGCCCAGTGCCAAGGGAGACAGTGGAGCAGAGGCACTGCCCTCAGGCACTTAGCAGGAGGCACAAGAAGGAGCCTCTGATACCTGGCTTAGGGCAAAGGGGACCAGTTAATACATTGAGTTCCCACATGCTAAGCCTGCAAGAGTCAAAAGCATAATGTGAAATTTCAGTCCTTGGGAGGTTTGACACCAAGTGGGACCCAATGCAGAATATGGGACTGTAGGCCAAGGCCTTGTCTCGGAGATGTGGCCACCGGCAAGACCGGTATGTGCTGTCTGGGTACAGAGCTGGCTAGTGGCCTGTCCAGTCCTGTACCTCTCTTTTAGGAGCCACAACCACTCTGATTTTCCCTGTGGCACACCAGGAGCAGCAATAGGAAGCCCTGTGATGCTGGGCCCTGCACAGGCTTGCTTCCTAGCCCCACCTTCAGCACAAAGCCTGAGCAATCCCACGGCCATCACTTCTCACCTGGAAGACTGCGTGCGAGCGGGAGGAGGTAGCATTGGCATCGGTGGGGTGCTGTGTCCGGTTTTTGTTGCCGTTGGCCAACATCTCCAGGAGCTGCTCTGCCGACTTGGGCTGGGAGAGAACACATAGAGGCAGGGATCAGTGGGCCTGGTACCCGTTACGTGGGCACCAAATGACTACAGCAACTCAGACAGCCTGCAGCTCAGGGTCACATTTGCTGCTAGCCCAGGGCTGCGCAGACGGCACCTCCATGCTTTTCACACACACACGGCCCGAGGCCACACGTTTGCTTCTGGAGCTGGTTTAGGTGCAGTGTTGCCCAGACCTTGTGCCCATCTTTCACACCTACCTGGTGGAAGGAGAGACCTTGGACCACGACACCTTTCTCTGGATCTTCCCGGATTGCCAAAGGGCCCTTGGGCTCCAGGAGGTCATGAATTTGCTCGTTGTACACCTACAGCAGGCAACTCAGAGTAAGGCCAAGGTTGCTTGCCCAGCAGCAAGGTGCAGCGAGCAGAGCAAGAAGCTTTTTACACCAACGTCACACACGCACCCGATGAGGTGCGCCCCCCTGCCCCCTACCCCAGAAATGGCTTGAGGACAGTTTCCCAGGCATTACACCAGGTAGAGCTGATGGTGCTCTAAACGCAGAGGACAGCTCTCAAGGGCTTTACTTGCAAGTCACTGTGCCACCGCTCCTCTAAAGCCCTTTTGGCCAGAAAGGGCAGAGAGCTATGCAGCCTGCAGACACTTCGTCATCTCAGCAAGGAAGAGAAACTTCCTGGGCTCCAGATGGGAGAGAGGCAGGAAGAAACCAGCAGCATGAGTTCAGCTAAACAGTCAGACAAGCCGGGCTGCAGTCGGGCTCCAACCTAGTCAGTGCCACCCTGGGGTGCCAGCCACAGCTCAGAGCGCGGGGGGTATCCCAAGCAGCTGGGATACTCCATGTGACATTACAGGACCTGTGTCAGCCTTCCTAGGGACGGTGACTCAGAGGCAGGAGGGAACAGCTTGGATGCAGCCTACCTCCTGGTAGGAGATGAGCACCTCACAGCTCTTCTCATCCTTTCTGGCCTCAATCCTCTTGTACAGCTCCACCATGGTGAGGTACATGATGCCCGGGCTCTTCTCAGAGCCCAGCATGGTGTAGGTTTTCCCTGCTCCCGTCGCGCCGTAGGCAAACACTACAAAGGGAAAGGGTGGCTATTTGAGACTATCGTTAACGGGAGCAACGCAATGTCATCTCATTGCCACACATCCACCGGAGAGCTTCCTCCAGCAACCCCTGTGGCAGGGCCAGGGTCACTCCAAGCCTTCGTGGGGGAAGACAGGAGATCAGGCAGAGACTAGGCAAATTGGTTCAGTAGTTAATTGCCCTCAGTGCTAAAATCTGCGCTGTCCTCCAGTGTGATTTCGTCTAACTTTGACTTTCAGCCACAGCGTCTCTAATTTAGCAGGTAAAGGCAGAGTGAGTCCCCAAACCATCACCCATTTAGACACTTGAAGGCCACTCTCAACTCACCCTTTAACCTTCCCATTAACAAGCTGAGCAGACCTGGCTCCTCCTGTCTATCACTAGAAGGTGTTTTTTTTTTTTCCTCCCAGACTTTGTAACTCATCTAATTTTTTTCCCAGTCTTTCAACACCCGCTTTGAAGCATTAACATCAGAGCAGGACACACTAATCTAGAGACTCTCAGCCCTTCTCCCCATTAGCAACACTTTGTGCTTTGAGAGTATCTCATTTGCAGATCCTGGAGTTATTTTATGCAGATAGAGACACAAGACATGCCTGCCAGGTGGGCACAGTGACAGAGCCAGCCTTCAGCGGCTTGCAGAGCATGCCGGAGAGCCAGGAATAGCATCCTCCAGTCCCAGTGCCCAGCCCGGCGCATGATTAGACAGGAGAGCGGTCGCTTCCCGCTCGGTGCCTGTCTTGCAGAAGTGACATGCTAGTTACGTTATTCTTCTCCTGACAACCTGCAAACGGCGCAAGGATCTGCAGCGTCAGGCGTGGTGAGGCGCTTTCAAGCCTGGCCGTACAGCTCCGTCAGCCTGGGAGATGTGCACGAGGGGCAGAGCAGCCCCCCAGGCATCCTGACACGTGTTCATCTCCTGCAGCAAAACTCAAGTGTCCTCCCTAAGCAGCCACTGGGGGCTCTGCCTGACACAAGCATTTAGGCTGGGAAACAATGGCAAAACCAAAATGCCCTTTGCACTGTGAATTCTCTCGATTCCTTTCTCTTTCCCACCCCAGGAGAGCGGAGAGCAGGTGATCACCTTCCCTTGGATGGCCACACGTGCCTGGAAAGCACCTGCTCAGTCTCACTTTCTACACCAATGTCCAATTTCTACAGCCATCCTATAAATCACACCTCCTAAAGCGCTAAGCATCTTTGCGGCCCTCCTTCATCCTTCGCCTCAATCACTCGGTAAGTGTTGAGCCCAAAGTGGACTCGGCATCCCAGTTGGGGCCTTGCTGCCTCTGAGAGGGCAGAATAATCCTTTCGTCACACAATGCTCCTATTAACCCACGCTGAGCAGCATTTGCCAGGTCTGCAGCTTGGCTGACGCTGGCCATGAGCAGCATCCCCCCAGTGGCTTGCCTGCTCCACAGACCCTCTCCCACAGCAGCGCCTTGCATTTAGCTTTGCCCCATCTGCTTGCTGAGTTCAGATTGCATCTCAGTGTCGGGAACATCCCCACGCTGAGCCGGCGTGCAATTGCCCCAGCTTGAAGTAACGTGGAAGTTTAAGGGTATTTGTTACTGCATTGCTGTTGCATGACCCCTGCTCTCCAACTGATTGGGAGTTTCCACTACATTGCCAAAGAAATCAAAGCATAAGAGAAGAGAAGCTACGAGCTCTAGGAGGGATGTCCCCGAGCTCCTCAGATCAGACAGAGGCAGCGCAACAGCAGCGCAGATCCACAGCTCTGCTGAGTCCATCCAGCCCAGGATCTGAACCCAGTGGGATAGAGGCAAAGGCACTCTCGCTAGTTCTCCGGGAAGCTAGGAGCCTTACCGGAACAGTTGTAGCCATTGAGGACACCATCCAACACCTCCCGGGTGGTGTGCTGGAACACCTCCTCCTGCGTGGCCCCCTCCCCAAAAACCCGGTCGAAGACGAACTTCAGATCCTTGCCCTTGTGCTTGGGTCCACGGCCAGCCGGCAGGCCGCCTGGGAGGCTGCCGGGTTCCTCGGGGTCGAAGACGAGGATGTGCTGGTCGACAACCTGCAGCACAGCGTGTGCGGCCCCCTCCCGCTCGTGGGGGCTGGGGGGCCGCACGCGCACCACGACAGCGACGGTGCCCTCCTCGGGTGGCGGGCCCAGCGCCATGGGGCCGCAGGCGGTGGGGCCCAGTGCTGGCTGGGAGATGTGGTTCCGCTCAGCTCAGCCCTGAATGCCCCTCTGAGGGTGGGAATGATTCAGCTGGGGGGAGGAGGG